GGTGTTTCTGATCTGGTCGGTTTCTCATCTGTGCCCTTCCTTTCACTATATCACTGTTGGTTGCTCTCTGGGTTTATAACATTAACATTGTAGGGATTCATGTCCCGTCACTGAGAGGGAAGTCCCCCACCCTCCAGGCAGTGCTGAGTGGGGAACAGAATCCAGGCCCCAATCCTCACTTGAGGGTGATCATCCCTCACTCTGCCCCAGAAGGCGAACTTTGGGGGCAGTTAGCCACTTGTCTCTCACTGACATGGCTTTACATAGAGGTTTAGGGTCGGACGCTGCAGGCGCTGCCTCTCTTTGAGCCTGGGAGGTAGTCCCAGCTCTCAAGGTGTCCCGGGAAAGAAGCTGGAAGGAGGCCCAGTGACAGGCCCTGTCACAACCCTGCTGGGCCCTGTTCCCTGTTGGTCTCAGAACCTGGTCCCGGGATGACTTGTCCCAACACCTGTCCTGCTTCCCCTGGAGAACCACCTGCATCCTGAGAACCTGCTGAAGGGAGACATGGTCCCACCCACCTCTGCTGTGCCTACAGCTCCGCAGACAGCACCCCATCCTCACCCTCTGTCCTCTGCCGCCACACTCTCACCCCATGGGGCCTGCACAGGACATCCCCTGTGGCTGTGTCTGCCCTCACCTTTGGGCCCTTGTAGGTTTTGCCTAAAATGCACCCACACTTCATCCTCTCATTCCCATCTCCTGTGCCAGGCCCTCCCTAAGATGCCAGGGTCAGGGTCACTTATGTGGCCTGTGGTGACTTCCACTACCTTGCTAATTTCACGTGAAATTCCCATGTGTAATGTCAGGCTATGCGGGCCCCACCTGTGTCAGGTGGAGACACAAATGAGCACTGACCTCACAGCACTTCCAACCGCTCACACCTGTGCTGAGGGAACCTCCAGGGGGCCGTTAGCTGCCGAGCATCATGGTGGATAAGTACATGGCCATTGGGATCAGAAGGCAGTCAGGTAAGGGCTGGGGCCTGGTCCCCTATGATGTTGCCAAAGTCTCACTTGCCAGAGCCCAGGTACACAGGGAGCTCTGTGAATCCTAAAAATGCAGGAGGAGCCAAAGCAGCATGGCTCACTTGTTGAGTATCAACCTATGAACGAGGAGGTCACCATTCGATTCCTAGTCAGGGCACATGTCCAGAATTTGGGAAACATCCCCAGTGTAAGGCATGCAGGAGGCATCCAACCAATAATTCTCTCTCATGACTGATGTTTCTATCTCTCTCTCCCTTACTCTCTAAACTCAATTTTTAAAAATTTTAATAAATAAATAAATACATTCACAGTAGAGTCATATATGGGAGGCATCTGAGCAATATTTCTCTCTCACATTAATGTTTCTCTTTCCTTCTCTCTCTCGCCTTTACTTTTCCTCTAAGAATGAATGAATCTATCCTTGGTTGAGGATAAGGAAAACAATATCTATATATATACTATTATGTACATCTACAAATACATCAACATCTTTATCTCTATATCTATATCTATATCTACATCTATATCTATGAATCAATGAACATATTCTTCAGTGAAAATAAAGAAAAAAGATCTATGTCAATCTCCATATCTATGTCTAAATCATCTATAATAACAAAAGCATAATATGCTACTCAGACTCGACGGCCTTCCGGACAAAGCCGCACAGGCAGCAGAGGCCAAGCCCCTTGCACGAATTTTGTGCATTTGTCCTCTAGTATATCTATATCTGTCTCTATGGAAACAGAACCTCATTGATTTTTATCCCCTAAGGAGTCACTGATTGTTCCCACATCCTAATTCCTGACCACCTCCTGCAGCATAGCCCCTGGTGTGGAAGGAGAGGTCCCTGGGCACGGTGACCAGGACCCCAAGGAGGGCCTGGTTCTCTGAGGGCACAGTCAGCACCTCCTTCCAGTAGAAGCCCCAGAGACCGGGACCTCCCTCACCTCTTGCCCTTTGTATGTGCAGACACCTCCCATATGCAAATGCCCACATGGGGGCCTGTCACACACAGAATTGGCGTCCACTTAAATTCAGGGCCTCCTCAAACTGGAGAATACTTTCTGGGGGACGAGGACCTCACCTGCAAGACATGACTCCCATGTGTCTCTTCCTCTTCCTGCTGTCAGCTCCCAGATGTGAGTGACTCAGGACTTAGACATGGAGAGATAGGGATCCTGCATCTGAGCCCAGGACTCACTGTGTTCTCTCTGTCCCAGGTGCCCTGTCCCAGGTGCAGCTGCAGGAGTCGGGCCCAGGACTGGTGCAGCCCTCACAGACCCTCTCCCTCACCTGCTCTGTCTCTGGTTACTCCATCACCAGTGGTTACTGCTGGTATTGGATCCGCCAGCCCCCGGGGAAAGGGCTGGAGTCGATGGGGCGCATACCTTATGATGGATACACTGACTACAGCCCCTCCCTCAAGAGCCGAACCACCATCTCCAGAGACACATCCAAGAACCAGTTCTCCCTGCAGCTGAGCTCCATGACCACCGAGGACACGGCCGTCTATTACTGTGCAAGAGACACAGTGAGGGGAAGTCAGTGTGAGCCCAGACACTAACCTCCCTGCAAGAAGGTCTCTGACCACCAGGGGGCGTGCATGGTCTCTGAGCACAAGGACCATCCCAGCAGCTGGTGCAGTTGGAGGTCTGGGCTGGTTCCTGTGTGGTTTCCTCTTCATGTCACCGTTTCCCTCAGGGAACCTCTGGATCCTAATTCTTCGCTGACGTCTGAGTCTCTGAGTGAGAAAGTCTGTTGTAAAGAGAGACAATTTTCTCCTGTGAACAAAAGGTAGAGAGTCTCTTTCATACACACTTGTGTCATAATGAGTTTATCATCAAATCTGCTGACCCACGTCACCTGAATCTAACAAGAGGCCCTAATGACCCAACAGTGCAGCTCCCCTGAATGCTGGACCGTGGGCCCCACATGTGTGTGACCCCAAAGCTGCAGAAGAAGGACCCACAGGGTGACAGTCCTGGTCTTGTCCTCATGCTCACAGCACCCAGAGGAGTGGACACCATGCAGAAGCAGAGGCACAGCAGCTGGTACAGATGTTCATGACACACACACACCAAGGGGATGTGGGATGGTTATTATGCTCCTGATTGAAACTCCTGAGAAGCACAGGAAAGATCACTCAGCAAGTCAGACCTGCTTGGATGGAGACTGGAAAGGAGAGGGAGCAGGGCTTTTATTTTGGCGAGGTGGTGGGGGAAGAGGAAGAATTCTGCCTCCAGGGAATTGTGTGGTTTCAATCTCCCAATAACTTCTACAAAGAAAACTATGGCCTCCTCCCTCATGCCTGGCACTGCTTTCCCTGTGGCCCTTGCGGTCCCAGGCCCAGGTGAGCTGCCTCATGAACCACCTCCTCCTCTAGGTCCTGCCACCAGCTGGGCAGCCGCCACCGCCTCACATCTGCCATCCCCTCTCAGTCCTCACGTTGCCATGGGCCAGAGCAGGACCAAGCGCTTCAAGAGACCTCAGTTCTCCCACCAGGGACTGTCAGGTCCAGTTGGCAGCAGCAGAAAACGGGACTGAGCAAGAGGAGGCGGAGCTGCTGGGAAAGCTCCAGCCCCCAGTGCCCAGGTCCTCAGTGCGCATGCACGGGGCTGGCCCAGCTGGTGCAGCAGCAACTGGTGCTCCTGGACCTGGGGGACCTGGTGGCCTGGACCCCTGCGCCCTCCACCTCTGGCCGCTGCTGCTGGACCCCAGCCTGGCGGTGAGGGAGAGGAGGTCGCGCCTCAGGAGTCTCAGTGCTTTGGAGGCTTTGAGGTTTGCAAGGACATGGTGACTGCGGATCCCATGACCCGGGTCGCACTGCTCCCAGAGGGCAGCGCTGGTGGGTTCAGACGCGGGGCCTCCATGGAGGAGAAAGAGCAGAACAGAAACCCTGTGAGAACGTGGCCGGGAGGCCGCTCGCGCTGGGGAAGGTGTGTGAGCGCAGTGATGTCCCAGTGTCTGTGCTCAGCACAGAGGGCGTTTGGAGATGGTGGGACCGTGTTTGGGTGGGTTTCCCCCAGGGGACCTGGCTGCTGCAGGAGCATGTTGTCTGCGGGCGGTCCCTGGGGCCCCCTAGAGCTACTGGAAGCGCTTGGGGCACAGCATGGCGCGGGCTGGAGTCTGCATGCTATCTCCTGGGAGTCCCTGGAGCGTGTCCTGTGGGAGCAGCTGGAGGAGGCGCAGTGTGGAACCAAAAGGACATTTTTCCGTCCAAGAGCCAAACAGAAATCATAAGCGCCTCCCAAGGGCTCATCTGAAGGGATGTGGGCGCAGGGGTCACTCAGACACAGGAGGCGAGATGAAGATGGAAACCGCCCTGGAGACCAAGGAAAGGCTGGAGAAGGCAAAGGGCGCGGACTGACCTCAGTGATGAGATGGAGGAGGCTACTCCTGAGAGAAGGGTCAGGAGGAAAATGTGCATCTGGGACTGGCTTCCACCCGCTCACCAGGAGCCCAGAGGCCCAGCGCTGCTGAGGGCGCAGTAAACCCGCTGCATGTCCTCTCCCTGAACCCCGCTGGGGCCTTCGGGCTTAAGGCTAGAACGGGGAAGTGGGGGTGGATGGGGTCCCTTTCCCAGGAGGCCCAAGGGCCGGCTCCTTCCCAATTTTTTCCCCCTGAAAATTCCGGTCGACCATCACTCCCCAAAAAGGGCGGCCGCGGGAGATGGTTGCAAGTTGGCTGTGCTCAACCAGATGTCCAGGCCCGGACTTGGTCTCGGAAAGGGGTCCGGGATAGAGAGAGAGAGAGAGAGAGAGAGAGAGAGAGAGAGAGACGACCAGATGGCCCTGCCCAGACTTGTTCTTGGGTGGGGAAGTGGGATCACTGGGCCAAATGGGAGTTACATTTTTAATTTTTAGATGGAAACTCTATGCTGTTTTCCATAATGGCTGCACCAGTCTGCATTGCTAATGGAACAAATAAACTGATGAACAAAAATAGACCCAGAGACATAGAAGCACGAACAGACCATGGAACCTCAGAGTGGAGGGTGGGGAGGTTGGGTGGGAAGAGATCAACCAATGAACTTGTCTGCATATATGTCTGACCTGTGGACACAGACAATGGGGTATCCTGATTTCATAATCAGTGTTGGATCCCTGAGGAGGGAATGCGAGCCGCAGGGGGAGAGGGTAATGTGTAGAAAAGGGGGAACTATGTAATACTTTCAACAATAAAGATTAGGAGAGAGAGAGAACATTCTGTTAACTATCCTGGCATCCAGTCCCTGCCTTGTTCTCTCCCACCTCCATGTCACTCCTCACCTTCCCTCCTGAACTTCAAATGCACAAATGCAGCTGCAAATGGTTATTCTCATGAGCATTTGAGGTCTTGCTCCCCCACAGTTTTCATCAGTTTGGCTCCAAAAATCATATAAAATATTCTCTATGTTAGGTTAGGTGGCTCAGGAGGCGGCGCAAGAAATAGAGTTCAGTGAATCAGAAAAGAAAGGAAAGGAAAGTTTATTCTGCGTCCCCGGGAGACCCACGTACCCCCAAAGACAGGGCACGTGGATTCACGCCAACATGGAGGGGGGCGCTTTTTTTATACTGCGGTTGGGTGAGGGGCGGGGACATGAGCTGAGGTATTCAGTTGAGGAAGCTTCAGCTGCAGGGGGGTCAGCAAGGTATTCAGGAATGAGTCAGCATCTGTGTGGGGGTATGTGGATTCAGGGAGAAGAAGCCTGTATCTGTGTCTGGCACATTGATCTGTGAGAAATTCTAGGAGGAGTCCATTGTCTCATCACATGTCTGAGTGTACCCGATCCTGGGCTCTCTCCGACCTAACACTCTACACATTTGGACACTTCTTATACTAAAATATTGTCTTTTCTTCATTTACAACATACATACATACACGTGTTTTCTCCGTGAGGAGTGGGACATTCACACAATTATTAAAAACCTGCTACCTGGGCAGGATGAGTTAGTTCTAAAGAGTTGCACCCTTTGTTATGGGCACTGATGCTCCAACCACTGAGCCCCACCAGCCAGGGATCCATGTGTAAATGATAAAAATTCCCCCACTTTGAGGGGCTGGGAAAACAGGGCTTTTGCACAGGAACAGCAGGAAGTTGAGTGAAATCTGTGGTTTGGGGAGGCAGCTGTGTGCTTGTGGCAGGGACAGCAGATTAGAGACGGAGGCTACAGGCACAGTGTCAAACCCAGCCTCTCCTGCCTCCTCACATGTAGAGGTTCGTGTTTTTATAGAGGCAGGAATAGAATGTGGGGAACCGGCTAGAATTGTACAACATAGTCATCCTCCTCTGGTCCCAGTGATTGTTTATTCTGATTGGAGAAGGCACCTTCTAGCCTGGCTGGCAGCCGCACTGGGACCTGGGAGCTCACCTGAAAATGAAGCCCCTCCTCCCCATTTGGAGCTGCCAATCATCCTGGAGATGAACAACTTTGCTGCAGGACCCAGCCCACCAGCCCTTGAATGTCCCAGGCCTCTGCTCCCTGTCACCTGCCCCTTTGGCAGAGCCTTTGGCTACTTCCCACGTAATCTTCTATCCTTTCACTCAACATAAGCAGCTGGTTTATGGGGCTGCAGAGCTGGTTTGTGTGGATGACCCGCTGCTACCCAACATTGCCCAAAGCATTGGAATGAATGCCTGTGTATGAGTCACCCCTGTCTCTGCCTATTTGGCCCAAGGAGTGACAGGCAGCAGGGACCATGCATTGTTGGATTCCTTATTCCTGTGTGAAAGATGTGACAGAAAACAGCAAGGAGAAGCTTTCAGTCTCAAAATAAAAGCATCATCCAATGCAAATTCTTATTCCTAAACCCCAGAAAGGCGACAGGACCCACGGGGGATGAAGGAGAAGGAGTGGATGCCCCATCCACTTGCCTCTGAGGGAGCACCCCTGGGTCCTCATCAAAACCCCGAGGAAGGAGGACTCTCAATCCTGGAAGCTGCCCCCAAAGGAATGGAGTCAGGATGACAGGTCCCAGGAAAGGAGGGAGGGATGGGGGTCAGGACAGGACCCCTTGTGGCCAGCATCCATGAGTCCTTTCCCATCTGGGGTCGCCCCTAGGGTGACAAGGTCAGGCATGGAGCCCAGGGTCTCGGCTGCACCTTATATGCAGACTCCATGCAAATGGGGCTCTCCTCCTGCTCATAAAAGGGGGCCCTTGCCAGGCATGTTGGGGAGACACCCAGAGCCCAAGCACCTGAGACAGGACCCCAGCGGCTCCACCATGGACTTGGTGCCAAGCTGCGTTTTCCTCCTGATCATTTCTCAAGGTCATTCTCAGGAGTGGGGAGCGCTGAGACCTGTGCCTGTGCCTGTTGGTGCTTCCATGTGATTCTCAGTCCACCTTGTGTCTCTGTGTTTGCAGGTGTCCAGTGTGAGGTGCAGCTGGTGGAGTCTGGGGGAGGCCTGGTGCAGCCTGGGGGGTCTCTGAGACTCTCCTGTGCAGCCTCTGGATTCACCTTCAGTAGCTATGACATGAACTGGGTCCGCCAGGCTCCAGGGAAGGGGCTGGAGTGGGTCTCACTCATTAGTCCTAGTGGTGGTAGCACATACTACGCCGACTCTGTGAAGGGCCGCTTCACCATCTCCAGGGACAATGCCAAGAACATGGTGTATCTTCAAATGAGCAGCCTGAGAGCCGAGGACACGGCCGTGTATTATTGTGCAAGAAACACAGTGAGGGGAAGTCAGTGTGAGCCCAGACACAAACCTCCCTGAGGAGACAGCAGGGCTGGGCTGCAGGTGGCGCTCAGGACTCACAGCACAGAGAGCAGCCCCAGGAGCAGGGGCAGAGGGAGGTGGGGAGGGAAAGGCCTTCCTGTTGGGCATAGGGATTTCCTCTCAAGCTCTCAGCTGCCTCCAGGGACAGCTCCTGCTCTTTCTCTGAGGCTTTCATTTCCCGCTTTCTCACTGCAGACCCCAGAGGAGGGGGTAGCACTGCTGCTGGCAGAGGACATGTGGGCAGTGATGGGGACTCTCCTCACCACGTGTCTGCATTTCCTGCTTTTCTTTCTCCACAGAGACCATCCTCAGTGCTCTCATCAGTCTGTGGTTGGAAACTTTCCCACCAAGAGAGACCCCAGCACAGCCCAGGCCCCTGTGTGCTGAGCTCGGGGTCTGACTCACATGCCCACCTGTCCCCATGGGGCCCTTCCTTCTGACAGGCCCACAGTAAATAAAATAGGTGCACGTCCTGCGGACAGTGGAAGCTGGATGGACCCATCTGAATGGTGCAAAGGGCCCTTGAGGGCTGCTCCCTGGTCACCTCCCCTGTACAGGTGCCAGGACTTGCTGTTTCTGGTGCCACAGGAAATGACCTCAGCTCTCTCCCCATAGGTGTCACACCAGCACTGATGTGAGATGACAGCAGTGTGCGCTTCCCGTGTCATGCAGTTTCATAGGGACGTTTAACAAGGTTCATTGGAAATCATTTCATTTCAACAAGCAGCTGACTTGGGAAATCTCTTGGTGAAGGAGATAGCTTTACAGCTTTTTCGTGTTTTTTATTTAAAATCATGGGGTAACAATTTCATTTCATAATGACGGTGTTGGATCCTCTGGAGATCAGTCTTTTGAGGGCTCAGAGGGGATTATAACTCAGGTAGAGGCAGCTTGTGAGATTATTACTCTATCTCAGCATTTCCCAGCCTCCATGTCATAGGTGTTGGAGTGGCTAAACCTTCAGCTCACTCATGTCTGCAGGATGGAGTAGACCTCCCACACCTCCTTCCTTGCTCCTTTGGTTGGTTTCCAGGAGCCATGAGAACCCACTGTGTCAGCAAAGCTTCCCCAAGTCATGCACTGCTCCCTGACCTCTGTGTGTCTCCCCTGGTCTCCTCCTGATTGACGGCTCTGGTGACTACAGAACCTTTCACCATCAGGAATGGGACTTGCTGAAACCACAAGCTGGTTCTTTGAAAAGATAAAAAAGATGGAGGAACCATTAGCCAGACTCATCAGGAAACAAAGAGAGCAGACCCAAATAAATAAAGTGAGAAAGGATTGTGGAGACGTAACAACCAACACCCCAGGGGAAAAAAAAGGATTGCAATGAAGTGCTATGAACAACTATATGCCAACAAGATGGACAATGTAGATGAAATGGACAAATTCCTATAAAAACACAGTACCCCAAAACTGAAACAGGAAGAATCAGAAGACCTGAAAAGGCCAATAACAACTGAGGAAATAGAAGCAGGAATCCAAAAACACCCAGAAAATAAGTCCTGGTCTGGATGCCTTCACAGGGGAGTTTTACCAAAAATCCAGAGAAGAACTAACACCTATATCTTCAAATTATTAAAAAAAAATCCAGAGGAAGGAACACTTCCAAAATCTTTTGACGAGTCCAGCTTTATCCTAATTCCAAAACCAGGTGACATTCCTAAGAAAGATAATTACAGGCCAATATCCCTGATGAAAACAGATGCTAAAATCCTCAAAATATATTAGCAAGTTGGATAGTGCAATGAATCCCATGACCAAATGGGATTCATCCAGCGATGCAAGGCTGGTACAATATTCACAAATCAATACACATGATATATCACATAAACAAACTGAAAGACAAAAACAGCATGACCATATCTATAGATTCAGAAAAAGCATTTGACAAAACACTGCACCCACTTTTGATAAATCTTCTCAGCAAAGTTGGAGAGGAGGACTCATATCTCAACACAATAAAGGACACCTATGACAAACCTATAGCCGGAATCATACTCAATGAGCAAAAATAAAAACCATTTCCCCTAAGAAACGGAACAACACAGAAATGCCCGCTTTCACCTCTCTTATTCAACATAGTACTGGAAGTCCTAGCCACAGCACTGAGACAAGAAGAAATAAAAGGCATCCAAATTGGAAAGGAGGAAGTGAAACTCTTATTATTCATAAAAGACATGATCTTGTGCAAAGAAAACCTACAGACTCGACAAAAAAACACACACCTAGATTTAACAAATGAATTCAGCCATGTAGAAGGATACAAAAATTACACCCAGAAATCAATGGAACTTTATGCACCAATAATGAATTCTCAGAAAGGGAAACCAGTCCTAGCTGGTTTGGCTCATTGGATAGAGCGTCTGTGTACTGAGTGGTCCCAGGATTGATTCTGGCCAAGGGCACATGCCTGGTTTGCAGCGTGATCTCAAATAGAGGGTGTGCAGGAGACCGCCAACCAATGATTCTGACTCATCATTGATGTTTCCATCTCTCCCTCTCCCTACCTCTCTGAAATCAATAAAGAAATACATTTTTTTAAAAAGAAAGAAAGAAAGGGACACCAAACCAACAATCCCATTTACCAGTGCATCAAAAAATTATGATCCTTAAGAATAAACTTAACCAAGCAGGTAAAAGACTTGTACTGAGAAAAATACTGGATGTTGAATAAACAGATAGAGGAAAATATAAGCAAGTGGCAAATAATACCAGGATCATCGGTTGGTAGAATTAACATCATTAAAATGTCCATATTACCCAAAGCACTCTACAGATTCAATGTAATCCCTATTTAAATAGCAACATATTTCACAGATCTACAACGAATACTTCAAAAATTTATATGGAGCCAAAAAAGACCCCAATTAGCCATAGCAATCTTGAGAATGAAGAACAAAGGTGGAGGGATCACAATACCAGATACTGAATTATACTTCAAAGCCATAGAAATCAAAACAGCCTGGTACTGCCACAAGAACAGGTATATACATCAATGGAACACAACAGAGAACCTAGAAATCTACCCAAGCCATTACGCCCAATTAATATTTGACAAAGAAGGCAAGAGCATACAATGGAATTACAACAGTCCCTTCAATAAATATTATTGGGAAAATTGAACAGATAAACGTGCAAAAAAAAAAAAAAACCCAAACAAACGGAAACAATACATGAACATATACCATACACAGTAGTAAACTCAAAGTGGTTAATAGACCTAAATGTGAGTATGAAAACCATAAAAATCTTAGAAGAATCCATAGACAGCAAAATCTCAGACATCTCTCATAGCAATATGTTTACAGATACATTTCCCAGGACAAAGAAACTAAGGAGAAAATAAACAAATGGGAATACATCAAAATAAAAAGTGTCTGCACAGCCAAAGAAACCATCAACAAAATGAAAAGGGAGACCAGATTATGGGAGGACATATTTGGCAAGGATCCATGTGATAAAGGGTTAATATCCAAAATGTATAAAAAGCCCTTACAACTTAACCAAAGGAAGACAAACAATCCAATCAAAAAATGGGCAAAGGACCTAAATACACACTTCTCCAAAGGGAACATACCGATAGCCAAGACATATAGGAAAAATGCTCAAAGTCACTGTCCATCAGAGAGATGCAAATGAAAAGGACAATGAGGTATCAGTTTACACCTGTCAGAATGGCTGCCATCAATAAATGAACAAATGACAAGTGCTGGCGAGGATGTGGAGAAAAGGGAAGCCTCATACTCTGCTGGTGGGAATGCAGGCTGGTGCAGCCATTATTGAAAACAGTACCG